TGATATTTTTCTGCTCACGCATGATAATATCAAAGCCTTGAAACTGCTGCTCAGCCAGGTGCTAAACTTTAATCTTTTTAAAAATTTTTTATAAAAAACAAGCAAACAGTAGTTTCAGTTTTGTAAATGTCATTGTTATTTCTGATTTTGTGAAAACCCCAGAAATGTATGTGTGTGTGTATATATATATATACACACACACACATACACATACACATGCATACATACATGCAGTATGCAGATGGGTTTTGCATGGATATGGTGTCTTCTAAAAGCATTGCATGAGCTAGCGGTTCCATCTAGTGGCTGTGTGTAAAACAAAGTTAGCATCTTAACTAGTTTCCTAAATTAAATCTCACCAAGCACCAAATGTGAATAAAAGTTGGCTATATAAGTATAAAAAGACGAGTATATAAAAAAAGAGATAGTTGCCAGCTGGCTGATAGCCATTGTTATTATTATTATTGTACTAATAATAAATATTTATACCACACAGCTTGAAATGAAAAAGGAATCCTTGATTTCAGCCCGAGACAAACTCAAGGAGCGAGCCACGAGCCTGTGGAATCGTCTGAGTTGTCCTGAGTCGGAAGGCGAGGCGTTTCGAGAGGCTGCCATGAGCACTCTCTCTGATGATATCAGACGGGTAAGAGCTTTTGCATGTAACCCACAAGATGTCCTATCAGGGATCTTAGCTCTCCTTGTGGTTTACCAATGAGTGCTAATGGAGTGCATTTCCGCTTGCAGTGGCAGGGCTATGTGGAACATCTAGAGGAACTGCAGATGGCTCAGCTGGAGGAGGTTGTTGATAAGGTCCGACAGGAGCTTGTGGTTCTGTGGGACAAATGTATGCTTGGACCAGAACAGAGGGAGACGTTCAGTGTTCACTTCTGTGATGGTAAGTTGCCTGAACCTTGTTATTCAAACTTAAAAGCAGTCAGGTAACTTTATAATATTAAATTCATAGCTTTTCTCAGCAAACACAGACTTGTGATCAAAGGAATAGTTTGATACCCAAAAATGAAAACTTACTCACCCTCAGGCCATCCAAGATGTAGATGAATTTGTTTCTT